GGGGGGGGGGTGCAGAGATTCCCATTGGAAATCACAATAATGGCGGCACGATTCCCTGATTTTACATTCACGGAGCAGTACACCTTGTACTACTGACAAGTGGGGATGGTTCTTCAGGGGGTGGGTTTGGACGTACGTGTCTGCAGGGTGGTCTCAAAGGTTCACCCCCTTCATCCCCCTGGCTTCCAAGCACAGACGTTTTGAGACGTGGTGTCAGCTCTGGGCTAGAGAAGGGTGCTGGTTCAGCCCAATGAACAAGTACAAAGTCTGCACTTTTCAATCCCAGAGCTAATCAGACGAATCGTTGTCGGAGAACGCTCAGTGTCCCCAAATGATGGACTGCGCATGACATCATCTTTTATCATAATGATCAGTTTGATTTAATTAGTAATGTAGAGAATTATTATCGAAGTAAGCTAAAATCTGTTTACGCAATTTATCATCACGTCTATAGAAGCAGCTTAAGCTAAAATCGTTTGAAAATTTTAAATAAACAACGAAATTTATTTTTAGTGAGAACGTTAGTCATTTAGTCCTTCAGTCCTGACCCATTAATCCCATTTATTACTCCCTGGGTTAACATTCACCGTTACGTGATTATGTGAAAATCTGTTCAAGACCCAAAAATTTTCCTACCAAGAATTTAGTACTTACTAAACTCTGTACTATCTAGCTTTTAAGACTTCTTTCTCAAAAGAGCATACATAAGAAGTGCTTCCTCCAACTTGCATCACCGTTTCGTCCCAGGTATGACGTCAAGACTCTGACAGGCTCCAGCTATTCCCACGCGTTCTCCTCTCCATCTGTGCCCGCATAAAAGCAGTCAGTCGCTTTACAAAAATGGACGAATAACTCACGCACTTTAGCACCATTTCTTCCCTCTGAACAGTCATTTAACAGCACGAAGCACTTCAAATGATGGTTATTTCCTCTTCCCCGTCAATTTACCTTTCACAACTTCAAAGTACGTAACAGGTAGGAGAATATAAATGGACATTATTGATCCAGAATAGAAATATAACTAACTCAGCATTTCAACTGTCTTTTAAATATAACGGAATAATATACAGGGTGATTCAAAAGGTTAGGGCCAAACTGAAGGAGCGTATAGAGGGACTCGAGAAAAACTTTCGAATAGGAATCCATGTCCTCCGAAGTTATCCTGAATCAGTCGAGGCCATTGAAGGCAGGGAAGTCTGATAATACACCGCTGAAATAATTTGGTTTATAAGATTGCTAATGTAATCCTTGTACATTAATTATTATTATTATTATTAGTGTTCTGTCTGAGGACAGGTCCATATGAACAGGATCCTTCCATCCTTTTCTCGGACTGGGACCTGTTCATATACGTTCTTGGCAGATGATCCAGAAGTGGTTTGCCATTGCCTTCTTCTGTGTGTGAATGGAATAATTGTTGGGATGCCACGGAG